TCGTTCGGTGCACAGCGTGCTACCGTTGCATCATCCTCTTTAAATTCATTTTGCAACTAATGAGCTTCGTTCTGTTCAAATATAGGCCAAGGAATGGTGACTTTATTTACAGAAGAGGAATTGCTGGATAGGATTACTGTTATGGACTATGATCTGTCGCCCGAAGAATTCACTTTTTTTAAACTGGGTAACTCTTTTTGATATCATATCGCTGAAAAACTTCTTTCGAGTGAGTGTTTTTGTTTCTTTTTTATGGTACAACCAATGCTGACTGCTGTGGCCGTGTGATAAGAAGAAATCCGGGGGAATGTGACTCCTTACCCTATGCGATATAGTTGATTTGCCGGCGCCAAACTCATGAAGTCGAAATTTTTTAGAAGCGGGGATATGAGAAATGGGATTTCTAGTTGCATGAATATAGGACAAGTTTAAGAAATGGAACGGTATCTAAACGAAATGGAGAATGAACGGAATTGGGTTCCGGAAACTGCGATGGGTGCGTCATTCACGGGGTAGTCTGCTGTCACAAGTATGCCTTGATTTTTTTGCTAACCAAACTCTCTCATCCAAATATATTTTGCATTAGCGGATGATTAGAGTACAAGCTGCTGTCTAATTTAGACATTTTAGGTAGCATGGATAGGAATAATGATGAGGTTTTTCACAATGGGCAGTCTGAGTGCCATCAGTCACGTGAGGATCTACGTTCATGTGAAACAACGGACATTAACGCGTTTTCAACCGTAAGAACAGCGTTTTTTTTTCACGGGACGGGGAGGGAGAGATCGTGTTTAGTATCTGGGCTGAACTCGATGTGTCTAGCTTTTATTTTCCATGAGATGCATCTCATTCATTTGGATGCATCTCGCTAATTTCGGCACTCTGCACCGATTTTCCGGACCATCCTGGTTGCGAAATTCTGCGAAGTAGCGATCATCTTATTGTACGGTTCTCAGGATTTTTAGCTGCTCAGTAATACTGGCGGGCGTCATATTTTGCATCGAAATCCCGGCATTTTTTGTTCAGTGTTTTTTTTTAAGATAAAGAAGGATTTTGTTATTTTCTTCATTTGCAGAGTGAGGAAATATTTGGTCATAATGAAATACTGGATATCATAGATAAGGGCTACCGCCGTTATCAAATCGTCTCCGAAGACAAGGATCGCTTAAGGGATCTGGTAAATTTAGAGCGGAATTTTGCAATTTCCGGTGAAAAACAGCGGAGAAACTGTTTTGCAGAATAATCGCATTGAAGAAAGCTTGCGTTGCAGTCGAGCAAAGTTTGATTCATTTTACAAGGACGACGAGGTTATTGATGGGGCAGTGAATGAGACACAAGGTTTTTTTTTATGATTTGCGGAGCATTTTGCGAGCGTGTTCGTTTCA